TTTATTTTTTTTATTACACAATTGTTATATATTAGATTGTATTAACATTATATGCCAAGACATTCAACAGTAACATTTCTGGACCCCCAGGATTGTGTTCCAAGAACGCATCTGTAACATTTCTGGACCAGCACATGGGCAGTAGCATGTGAGATGCCTGGACTCCTTCACACGCCTCCCGGAAGCCCAGATATCTCACGGATCCGCAGAGGTGATAGAACACCAGCCACCATCATCAAGCACAATGCCAATACCCCTGCGATGGACGCTGAGGCACCATCTACAAACCGCAGCGCTAGAGGGAAGAGAACACTGTTGGCATAAGGTAAGTAAAAGTGCTTTTTTTTGGTACCCTGGGCATAAGTGAGCACTTAACCCTTGCAGTGCAGGGGGAACCCCACTTCAATGGAAGAGTTTTGAGTGAATGGTGGCACTATGTAAACTTGCACAAACATTAAACATCGCATGCACACAATGGGGGTTCTTACCCCCATATATGGGGGGTAAGAACCGTTAAACACACCTTATACCTAGAAGTGCTGAGTGATATGAGCGGGAGATTTCAGGGAACATGACATGAAATGATCAGACTTTGACCCCCTTCTTGGGAGGTCATTACAGGCAGCACAGGCATTACCTCATACTGTAGGCGCCAGCACCCAACTCCTGCCCAATGCCAGACAGACTGGCATCGAAGTCTTGCACCAAGCCCGATTCTATCACTTCGTCTGCCAGGGGAAGCTTCAAAGCCCAAGCCATGATCGCGGAGAGAAGCGAACTGCCTCGCACCTATAATGTCCGGGAACCAGATGTGAAGTGTGGAGAGGGAGCACAGACCGGCACCAGAACGTTCCTATTACCCGCTGAGAGGGAGAGCGGAGCCCCCGCTGTATGGAATAATGGCGCTGACACAGGCGGACATGCCAGAGCTCAGTGTGGGGATAGCTAGGCTCGGGCGGGAGATGGTCCGTGGAGGCGGCTGCCCGGGTTGCAGCTTCCTAGGAGATCATGGTGACTGAGGCAGCTGCTGAGGGAGACATCACAGGGAAAGCTCCCGCACTGGCTCTCGGCAGCCGCCTTCCCAGCACACGGCGAGACACATGTAGCGGAGCGGGCGGCGGCTGTCTCTTGGCACGACTCCCTCCGGACACAGGTGACAGGCTGCTCAACAAGGCAACATGGAGGTAGCAAGAGCAGGGGCTGCGACAGCCTACACGACGCACACCGTGACGTGTTCAGACCACGCCTCTCCGTCAGTGAGTATCCACCAATCAGCTACCAGTCACGGCAAAGCTCTGGAGGGAGACGCTGCGTACGGAACAAACGGGGTGGCAGCGAAAGGGCGGAGCTATCGATATAAACTAGATGCCATTGGGTAGTGAGAGGCATGGACGAGGCGTGAAGGGAAGTGTGCGCGGTGTGACGTGTGTAGTTCGTCAGCACGGGAAGTGAGTGGTGATGTGAAGCGGAGTTTGGGTCTAGTATGGTCTAATCAGAGATGTGCCACCATTCTATGGGCGAAGGGGAGACACTCAGACTTCAATTATGAATGGAAAGGCAACGGGCTAAAAACATCTTATTGTGAGGGGCTTCACTTACTCTGCTCACCGGCACAGGATGAACATTTCACAATGAGGACACCGCAATAAAAACTTGACATCAGTTCTAACCTATGCCTGTTCCGCAAAAATCATGTCACCTTAGGAGAGTTTTCCCCTCATTTCCTGTCTTTTCAACTGACCCAGGAAGTGTAGGGAAATATTCCTTAGAGAACTATGGCCAAACCTGTTTTGGTCCTTGTTCTCTTTAGGGTCACAGGAGGACATTTTGTCATGTCCTCATGTGACCTGAAACTCAGCACCTGTATGTTAAAGTAGTATTAAAGTCTCAAACTTTTTTCAATAATGAATCCAGATCAAATATAAATTGACCAGCAAAGTATTTTTTAACCACTTCTGGGCCGCAATACGTAAATATAAGGCGGCATTCAGAAGTGGTTAAATAAATACAGCTGCAGTTAAAGAATACAGCGGCAGCCGTGTTCTTGGTGTCATTTTATACAGCCGGTGATGGCTGTTCAGGTACAAGTGATGTACAGCAACCGAATCGTTTGTACCGATCGGCGGCATGTGCTGCCCCCACCCCCTCTTAGAGCCAGGAGATGAAGCTGGGGAAGCAAATCTCTGCTTCCTCAGCTTCTTTGGGGTCCCTAGGTGACACTTGTGACCAGAGAGCATGGAGCCGACTTCCCGGCCAATCAGGATGCCGGGCAGCGTGTAATGAGGCGCTGCCCGGCTTCCTGATTGGACGGGAAGCTGGCCAATCAGGAAGCCGGGCGCCATGTAATGACACAGTGCCCGGCTTTCTGATTGGCCGGGAAGCCGGCTTCATGGTCCTTCATCATCTCATGACGAGGCTTCCATGATTGGCCAGCAAGTCAGCTCCATGCTTTCTCGTCACATAGTGACGAGAAGCATGGGACGGCTTCCTTGTTAAAAGTGCCAATATTGGTGCTTAGTATAAGGGCATTTTCACAAGTACTCGTGAATAATGCCCAGTATCGGCACCAATACCGGTATTGGTGCATCCCTATTATAAACCCTTCAAACTGTCTCACATTTTAGAAATGCTCCTATGCTTGCCCTATGGATTTTTCTTTGCTCTGCCTCCTTGTTATTAGCCCCGGCTATAGTTCCTGACCAAGGCTTGTCTCTTCTATCTCTGGAGTGACCTTGGCTAGTTCCTGACCATAGCTTTTCACTGCTGATCTTCTGGTTTAATGTTGGCTTGCCTCCTGACCACAACTCTGTCTGCTACCCCGAGTGCTATCTGTCTTCTTGGCCATTGACCTCAGCTTGTCTTCACTACGTTTCTAGTCTGTTGTGCTCCCTTGTCTTGCCCAGCAGTTTCTGTGATTTGGACTTCTGGCACCCATACCACGCTGTGCCCCCTCACTCCCTGTGCTTCCCTACAGGAGTGTCTGGACCAGAGGTGTAAGGGAAGCCCTCATGTCATGTTGGCCTCCACCAGGTATTGACAATCACCAAATCTCACTCCAGGTTCCCGAGATTAGCAGTCAGAGGCAAACATACAACTATTAGGCCAAGTTCACATCTAGGCGGCACTGTTTTGGTGCGTATGTACACGCGTGTTCTCGGTGCGGTTATTTGCGCGTTTATGCGTGGCATGCATATTTCGATGCATGTTTGTACGCATGTACATGAAGACGCGCGTTTGTACGCGTGTACATGAAGACACACGTTTTGACTGGCAGCTTATGAAACATTGCGGGCAATGGACAAGCGCGCAAAAACGCACACGAAAATGTGCAACATGCTTTTGCTGCACTTTTCCAGGCGTTTCCATTGAAGTATATGGAGCAAAAATGCACTTTTAACTGCCCAAAGAAACTCATGTACTTTTTCAGGCGTCTGGCGTTTTTCTGCTCAGGTCTGAAGAGGGGCCATTCAAAATCATGGAATTTCTTGTGTTGGGCATTTAAAAGCGCTTTTACATCTGCTCAAAAACGACTAGGTGTGAACCAGGCCTTAGGGTTTTGGCACAGGAGTGTGTAAGCATCCTCACATACCAGGAAGGAGGAATGCCAGATAAAAGGCATTTTTTCAGGGTACTGCTTAGACACAATTAGCATTTATAAGTGTTCCCTATAACATAACAAATCTTCACTATTTGAGTTCAGTACCACTTCATGAAGAGATTACCCAGGTTACTCAGCAGCCCTGATGCTCGTGCACAAAGTGGAAGTAGGAGATGAGAGCTGATGGCTTATGTATGACACACAGATCTCAAAAGAAAAAAAAGTTACATTAATAAAAAAAAAAACCCCGGGTTTAGTTTTACATTAAAAAAGAACTATGGGGTAAGTGTTTTTTCCCCCCATAGTTCTCTTAAGGGTCATGGGAGGACATAGCTCAGTATTGGCTGCGATATACTGAAACTGCCGCAGCCGAGACACCCCCTTCCTGGCCAGGCCATTTTTCAGTATTCAGCGCTGCGGTACTTTGACTGACGTTTATTCCGTCATGCAACGCTGTACTGAAATGAATTTTACACCATTTTTTGGGGACAGATAGAGCTTTCTTTTGGTGGTATTTAATCACCACTGGGGGTTTTATTTTTTATTATAATTAGGAAAAATTACTGAAAATTTTGAAAAAAAAACATTTTTTTAAATATTATGTTAGGAAACATTTATTATTACCCAGTTTTTTGGTCAAATATAAAAGATCGGGTCACGTCGGTTAAATAGACACCAAACATGTCAAGCTTTAAAATTGCGCGCACCCGCGACATCGCAGAAAACGACCGCAACCAAAATTAGCCATAGGCGACGCTTTAAACGTTTTTACCGCTCATCAGTTTAGTGTTATCAGTGATTGATGGCCCTAGACTTATTGCTCTCACTGCGACGTTCGCGGCGATATGTAACATGTGCGGCGTAATGGGCGCAATCGTCTTTTTTGCACGTATGCGCCCCCGACGCGTGTATGCATGCGTGTATGTATGGGGGGGGACTTAAAAATTTTTATTTATTTTTTTAATTCTTTGTGTGTTACTTATCGTCTAGAGACGCCCGCTCAGATCTAGAGAGCTCCTGGCCGGCCGTTTTTTTACTACGGCCGGCCGGAGGCAGTTAAGGACCCCCCTGACCCCCAGAATCTAACCAAAAGGGAAAGATTCGTTTTGGTGATGTAACCAACAACAGTCGGAATTAATTTCATCTGTAAAGTTACTTAATACTGTATTAGGTTGTGTGTTATTGCTGTTACCTTATGTGAATGTTGCATATTGGGAACACCTTTATCTTATCAAATTAAGTAGATGGAAGGGGGTTTACTCTTGGATTGAATTGAATTTTGCATAAAATAGCTGCTGTGTTTAGAACCAATAGAAACAAAACTTTGTGTGAGGAAGATTGTATGTCCTTCTACAGGCCCAGTAATGTATTGGACATTATTAGTTAGTTCAATCAGTGCTGTATATGTGACAATATAAGGAAAATAATAGTGAACAACTTTTCAATTTACACATTTGTAGAATGGTGTGTGTTACCTGGAGTTCTTCAACAATTAGCTGGCTCATAAAAGGACTAGGATGAGTGCTAACAAACAAGTTTCCATTGTCCATTTGCAGTGGCTCATTGGTCTTCATATACTAAAGGATCTTTTCAAGAGCCAGACTTTCATTAAAAAAGGCTAATGATGTTGATTCCATGCCTCAATGTCCGATTGTTAGACATTACTGTACCATTACTTTGATGATTCGTTCTCCATGACTTGGTACCAATGACTCATACCCATTATGGTAATATCATGGTACCCCATTTACCGATGTACACTGCCTCATTCATTTTGTTCCATAGAGTATTTCACATCACTGTATGATGCTAGTCCATCCTAAGAGCTGCCTATCTGATTTGCTTTATTTGTTTTCCTTGGATGTGATATCTGTGACGACTCTTTTATGTTGTTATTGTGTAATTGTACACTTTTGTATTCGATATTCAATAAAAATCTATATGAAAAGAATTTAAAAAGGCACTTTGCAAAGCACTAAATGCAGAAGAAAACAGTGACCTAAGGTCAATAGGAAGAGGCACTGAGAGTTATGAGGGATCACGTGATTGACACTCCTGGAAGTGTCGGTTTCCCAGCATACCTTAGAGGACTTTTTTTGTGAACGGTTTCAGCAGTGCTGGTTGCAGGAGAGGTACATATTCAGTCTTATCTTTACATGTATATGCTTGGTTAAATATATTTTAGCATGTGACAGCGTCCCTTATATACTGAATGCATAGGGTATACAAGCTAAATGGATTTTGGAGGATTATAACTGGAAGAGAAAATACAATTTATCTATTTTGTTGATTCCTTACAGTATAATTTTATACTAAGGTGCAGCAGGTAGGGATGTTTACTATGTGGGTGGGTTCACAGACATTTAATATTTGAACATGATCTGGCAGGGCGCAGGAGAACTGGGGAAACCACTCATCTGTTACCAAAACAGCCAAGTGTTTTGTTACAACAACATTTGACACACCCAAAGGTTACAATTAGCAAAAAAAAAATACACCTTCTGGATTACATATCCTGAATCTACTGTATATTTGCAGGAACAATCTACTGATTGCAAGAACAATAGTATGTAGGCATATTTTCCAATTCAAATATCTATATGTTGTGTAGAAGGTGCAGGATGGAGTTCTAAGATCCATTA